TGTTTATCGTTGCTTAGTGATTAACTATGTAAACAATGACAGACTATCATCACTGTCGTGTCCGTATATTGTTTAATATGTTTGTGATTTACATCTTTGATAATGGCTTAAGTAAGCCGAAAGCTTAGATTATATTAAAAAAATATGGATCAATATTGTGAATTCCTTTCTTCGTTTAATGATAATGTTATCAAACTTATCAGGTTGTGACGAACAAATTTTACATAAAATAAAAAGACAACACTTGTCTATATTATTTAATGAAACGTGTATAAATGAAAATATGCTGCCTAAATACACAATAATATATATATATATATATATATATATATATATATATATATATATATATATAAATACATACATTTATGCAATATTAAACAATTTACATATTACTTGCGAATATTTATGAGCGTATTTTAAATAAAAACTTCTGAAAACATCACATTTTTACTTATGTTTTAAATATTCGTTGCAAAATAAAATCTTCATATTTGCCTTAATAAAGTCCGTCACAGGACGAAAGGCGTCGACTAAGATAAGTTTTCCGTTTGTCTTAAATATATATGTATATATTTGTCTTAAATATATATGTATATATAGAGACAGATACAGATGTACAGATGTACATACATATAGTTGAATAGTGTTAGATACGAGGGATGAACAAAAACGAATGAAAATGAAATTGGTTAAAAAATCCGTCGGCGTTTATGCCACATACGTTAACTTATATGAGGATAATTTGCAATGTAATTAATATAAAAGTCAAGATGGGTTACGTCCCCTTATTCTAAATCTAAGATCTAAATGATAACGTGGCTAACAACGCGAAACTAAAAAAAAATAGCTTATTTAAATGAATAAGAAATTGTATTGGAAAAAACGGAAAAATCATGATTTATTTCTAAGAATCAGAGAAGAACTGATTAAAAATAAATAACAAGGGATAATTACTTTAAACTGATTGTAAATGCACTTTAGTTATCACTATTAATTAAGAAGGGGTTAGTTGCGTAAGATATAAGACACATATTGGAATAATACAGCCTGGATGTTGTAATTTTCAGAGTATTATGCTTTCTATATATATATATATATATATATATATATGTGTGTGTGTGTGTGTGTGTGCATTTAGGCAGTAAATTCTCTTTTAGGCATGTCTGATTAAATAAATTACCGACATTATGCCTGCTAATTTTTAACAAAATCCCTTCATACTCACGAATAACTTTCCGTGTATTGATGCTAAATGATGAGAGTAAGGTGATTTAGCCGTTTAAGTTTCTTTTATTTTCATTTCCCAAGTATTGAAGGAAAAATGCTTTGAAGTTTAAAACTTGCCATCACTAAGCAGTGTTCATTCGTATGATTTCACGTCATATATGTATAAATATTCTGTCTCTCATGCTGAAGGTTCTCCAAATATAATAAATTTAAACTATATATATATATATATATATATATATATATATATATATATATATATATATATAGAGAGAGAGAGAGAGAGAGATGTTTGTGGCGTAGGCGTGCGTGTTCAACGGGTTTACAGCTAAATAAATTAGATTTAATTTTTTTATTTTCTGTTCTGGAGGTTGTGGGGAAATAAGGAAGATTAAATAAATTTTATTAAATCAGCATTTTCCCCAAAGGCAAACATCGAACGAAGGATCCGCTTAAGGGAGCGTCGTAAATACTAATGTTTTCTAAACAAAAAGTAAAATCATGATATATTTCTAAGAATCAGAGACGAACTGATTAGAAATAAATAACAATGGATAATTTCTTTAAATTGATTGTAAATGCACTTAAAATAATACAGTCTGGATGTTGTAATAATTTTTATTTTTTATAAAGTATTCATCGGACACAGTTGCAGAGTTTATGCTATATATATATATATATATATATATATATATATATATATATATATATATATATATATATATATATATATATGTATGTATACTATCGACTTTCTCATCGAATTCGACGGATGAGGGTCAAAGAGATCAGTTCCTATGAAACCGACAGCCCGGCAACAGCACATGAGATTTGATTATAGTGGTGAAGGTTTCGTGCAGGACCATCCACACTTTTTGAAGGGACGAATACAGAGACCTGGTACACTAAGTGCCACAAGGTCCCAAAACAACCCCCCTCAGGTTTTGAATTCAGAGTTGTCCTTCTCCTAGACCAGTTGCCATCCAAGGCTATAGAACCCAGTCTGTCCCTCTATTTACCCATAGCTGGAGGGAGAAGAAGAAGATTCACACATTTTCCAAAAGTATTATATATATCAAGATGAGTTGCTGAATCTTCGTAGTGAGAACATTTCCAAACGTAGACATAAGAAATGCTTTAAAACATAAACACGGTTTTATAACGTTTTGTTACCTATAACAATTCCATCTTGGATCACTAACATCGGACATGACATTTAAATGGCATGACTCTTATGATTATCTCTCTCTCTCTCTCTCTATATATATAT